GATAAATGATTGTTTGAATGATACTAAGAATCATTTTACAGTCCTGTAGAACATTGAAATCCAACCAACCGGATGCCTCCACTATCCCCTCAAGAATGATGATGATCTCAAATCTCTCCCTGGTCAAGCGCTCAGCCCCGATTTCCCAGAAGGGACTGGTCTCATTGATGACATGCGTGATGGTCTGAGGCTCGACCAACAGCAGCCGGTCTCCCCCGGTGTCATATCCCAGGTTGATCTCCGACTGCTCCAGCGGTATGAACTCCCCCTCCTTGGTCTGTCGGGACTTGATCAGCTTGGCTCGGATCTTGGCGTCCACCATGTGGCTTGCCCTCAGGTCCCCGATGCGGAAGAGGAGGCAGAGTTTCTCGTCGCGCTCGGATATGACGCAGTGCTTGCTGAAGATCAACGTCTGGGCCCTTTTCTGAGGCCGGGAGATTTTGACGAACATACAGCCGACCATGAGGGCGTCGATGATGGAGCCAATGATAGACTGGGCCATGAGGAGAACCACTCCCTCCATGCAGTTGGCCGTCACCAACCTGGAACCATAACCAATGGTCCTCTGGCTCTCCACCGACAGGAGCAGGGCTGAAAGGAAACTGTCCACGTTCTCAAAGCACGGTCTCCAGTCTGGGTCGTGGACGTGGGCCACGTCGTCCCGGAGCCAGGCGTCCACGAAGTAGATCTCGGCGAAGATCACCCACGTGATGATGTAGCACATGGTAAACACGCAGAGGAACCAGCGGTACTTTAGGTCCACCAGAGTGGTGAAGATGTCCGACAGGTACCTGGCCTTGTCCTCGATGGGGCCCAGGTTCACTCGACACTTCCCGTCTTTGGTGACGTAGCGCTGACGCTGGCTGGCCGCGTCGAAGTTCGGCCTCTCGTCTCCGAGAAGTTTGCGCTGAAGCATGTGGGGCCTGCTCTCGACCCTCGTGCCAGGGTTATCACTGGTGGTACCGAACGGGCCACCGAAGGGAGCGCCCGAATTCCACCTGGAGCTGAAGCGCTTGAGGTGGCGTCCGCGGTAAGTACTCTGAGGAAGGATGTCCTCACAGTCCTCAGACGGAATTATGTACTGGCAGGTGTCTACCTCCTGGCTAACCAATCCTGGAACAACCTGATGGGAGCCGGGACTCTGTGGCCGTGTCAGGGGTGGCGCCGGTGGGGCTGGCATGGACGGGACAGCTGGCAATCTGTTGTATTCTTTGTTATTCGAGCTGGGGATGAAAGAGACTCTTCTGGAGTTGAGCGTTGTCACAGCCGCGTTGTCTTCCGCTACAACCTGAACAACAAAAAATTATATGTATCTAACTGTTAGATTAAATGCATCCTCTATAATGAATATGGTCGAGAGCACAGTTTCACAACACGTCCCAGTTAGCAACATCCTAAAATACCGATAAACTCCACAATAGGTACCTTCTTCGGATTCGGGGTAAATGGTGTTGATTCTTGGGCTGGCCTGGGGAGGTATGCCAGAAGATGTTTTGCGGTAAGGGTCTGTACTGGGGGAATCGAGTTCCTGCGAGGTTCAATTCTCGTGGGACTTCTATAGTCCCCGTTATGAGTGTCGTGCAATGTTCCTCTGCTGCACATCATGGTGGATACGATACCATCTCTCAAGACTGCTGAGTGGCTGCTAATCTGACAGGGGCTCCTGGCGCGGCTTTGTTCCTGTTTAGGCAAGAGAATGTGGTTGAGAGCCTTCACACAATTAACCACCACCACCACTACAACCGATAGAGAATAGACTGAATGAAACACTTCCACCAAGTAATACTGATTGAACCGTGTACAGACGTGTGTCATAGTTTGTGTATTGCTAGAATGTTGAATCCATCTATGGCTGTCTACGGCGGTCTATGGCTCTCTACGGCTGTGTACGGTGTTCTATCGCCGTCTATGGATGTCTATGGCTGTGTACGACGTTCTATGGCTATCTACGGCTGTCTACGGCGTTTTACGGCTGTCTACAGCTGTCTACAGATGTCTACGGCTGTCTACGGCTGTCTACGGCTGTCTTTCTTCCATCTCTGATACTCTGAGGGACTTCTTTAGCCAGATGGTTTCCTCTCGCCTGTATCATTTCTTACATAATTCCTCTCCCAACCACGTTCAGATCAATTCAATCAGCGGTGCGTTGTGATATCATCAGCCTCTGTTGGATCCAATTAAACTGTTGGGATTATGCCTGATCCTCTAAATTAATCCGGGAACAACCGAGAGGCAAGGAGTGATGGATTTTAAGGGATTACAGACTTACCATTGTTTACGAGGGGCTAAGATAATAGTTTTGCCCAGATGTGGCCATATAAACCCTGGGTAAGTCTTTATGATTCCTGGTCTGTAGTGATGTTGTCAATGCTGTTACTCCCTACTAGACCGGCCAAACAGCTGATCGCAGCAGATGTGTGGGACAACGTCAATATCCACTCTGACTCAGAGTGCAGCAGACCTTAAATTGCCTAAGGCATTGTAATTAACAGATCTCGTTATGTGCTCTACTTACTTCTGCCGTAGATCATTTCGAAATGATCTGCGGGATGTCTGAGATGCTACATGTATGGATTGCTTTTGTCGAGCAATTGGATTTTATACAGATGGCCTTCTGAAATGTTTAGACCAATAGTGTAAGTTACAGAAGTTACATAATCCTGTGTTCACTCTGCTTTTTTAAATTGTAACTGCACACCAGCCTCCCTACAATCAGAGCAACAGAAGAACAACATGTAGAATTGTGCTAAACAACCAGAGCAATTCTAAAAAGCCAGAGGGGAACTGTGGAGGATGGAGGAATGTATGTCTGTACACGAGAGGTCACATAGGTACTGGTAATTACCAAAAAAAGCGAACAACTAAACCAACCATACCTTAATAGAGATATCAATCTTCTCAGTGTCAGATCATCTTCCACCAGAGAGATAACGGGCAGCTTTAAAAAAAAAAAAGTGATGTGTCTGTTAGGAAAGCTGTGCTGTGGTCCGTCTCCAGTGATGTCAGGGCAAACTGGCAGGGCGCCTGTTGTCCAGCTGTGGACCAGACGGAGCTGTCACTCAATCCCCTCATCTCCTCTTCTATTGGTCGGAACGCTCAGCTGTCAGGCTTCTTGTGGAGTTAGCAGGGCTGACGAGCTGTGCGGGAAGCAATGCAGCTCGGAGAGAAGTGAAAGATAAACAACAAACAAAATACAATAATGACAACCGTTAACTTGACTAGATCCAATGATCAACGGTGTTGTGTGTACGTGTGCAACATATTTGGTAACTTATTTGAAAATACCAAGATTGAAAATACTTGACAAAGTATGAGAAGTGTCATTGATAAAGAAAAAACAAAAAAGGCTACAATTATCTTTGATATTTTCACCACCGGGCAATATGTAGGCCTCAGCATTTGTGTTGTCCCCAATTTGAGGCAGCTGCCCTGCTTGAGCCCTTTTTCATCTACTGGCGTGGCCCACAGTTGTGTTTTTTGTAATTGGTTGCTGCCTCGTCTTTTGTTGTTTTCATCGAGCTAGTTGCATTAAATAAACGTTATGTTTCACGTCAGCCCAACGCGTGTGTCCCACCTAAACTCTCGGCATGATAGGTATTTCAAAGCAGGTCTTAGAAAACCGAATAGCATTTTAAAATGTTATTCAAAGCAGGGGGAGGTACAGACATGTGCAGAAGTATCTGGAACTAGAAGAGGATACATATTCTCAAAATTATGTCAAAGAAATAAAAGAGGCAAACAACATATTTATCTGAGAAATATTTCCAAAAAAATAAAATGTCACCAGAGAATATTCAAAATATCTAACAGAATGTCAACGTAACTTTTTTCATTTTACACACATAATTGGTGTCTATCTTGAATTACCCAACAGAAATAACTGTCAGACAGATCCACAACAGCCAGGCTTCTTGCTGTAAAGGATCTGTTAGCCACTAGCATCTGGAGAAGACCTCACCAGTAGAACTTCAGTAGAACAACACTACAGTAGTAGAACTGTACTGTAAAGTGCAAAACATTAATGTGTTTCAGAATCAGGACAGCCAGGCTGTATCTTAAGGTATTTAATATCGACTAAAAATAATAAATATGTTTGTATAAATATGTTCTTTAACCTCATTCGAAATTTTTAAAGTGCTGTGTAGAAGTATGTTTGTGTATCAGAAATATAGACTGAGAAGAAAAGAGAATGTAGGAACACAGTGAAAAGAGCAACAGAAAGTTTGACCGTTTATTGAGCGCCTCGTGGGCCTCCAGATCTGGTAAACAGTTGGAAGGAACGGCTTACACATAGAAAATACAAAACAACAAAGTTTTAGACAAAGGAATCTGAATTTCTCAGCATTTAAATCTTCAGCCCGTTCACGGCAATCCTAATTTAGCGTGGTAAACGTAACGTATCAATGAAACAAACAGATTTACTTTTATTTCTTGTGTTTTCGTGGTCTCAAAACACAGGTTCGAGGCACTAACAGCTTCCCTGATAAACGTAATTATCATTATTATATTCGTTCTGCCTTATGTCACTCAGAATCAACTGAAATGTTCTGGCTTGGAAAAATATGACAAAAGCACGCTCAAAAGTCATATAAAAAACAACATTGCACAATTAGGCACAATTTTGCCGACCGTCAAATGTTAGCAACCGTCGTGGAGTGTACCGACCCTGACACTTGATCTCAGCAGTTGATCTACGACCCCTAGGCCTTACTTGACGGCAACACCAGATGTGTTGGTGATGGACTCCATGACGGCAGCCAGGCGACTGCACAGGTCATGGGGCACTTTCGACCGCACTGTGGGTGGATCCTTTAGGACCACCATTTCCGTCGAGCAGTCCAGAACTCTCGGCAGAAACTCGCCCAACTTCTCCTGCAGAGAGTCTGAAGAGAGGAGTGACGGAAGACGGGAAAAAAGGCGTCAGCGATAGAATAGTATATATTTTTTATTTAACCAGGTAGGCCGATTGAGAACAAACTCTCATTTTCAACTGCGACCTGGGGAGAAGCTGGGATTTCAAACCATGACGTCATACATACAAAGCATGCACTCTACCACAGAGCTACACCAACTCCTCCAATAGGAACCCATGACGTCATACATACAAAGCATGCACTCTACCAAAGAGCTACACCAACTCCTCCAATAGGAACCCAGAACATCATACATACAGAGCATGCACTCTACCACAGAGCTACACCAACTCCTCCAATAGGAACCCATGACGTCATACATACAAAGCGGGCACTCTACCACAGAGCTACACCAACTCCTCCAATAGGAACCCAGAACATCATACATACAGAGCATGCACTCTACCACAGAGCTACACCAACTCCTCCGATAGGAACCCAGGACATCATACATACAAAGCATGCACTCTACCACTGAGATACCAACTCCTCCAATAGGAACCCAGGACATCATACATACAGAGCATGCACTCTACCACTGAGATACCAACTCCTCCAGAAGGTAACAGAGGCAGTGTAATCACACTGAACAGTCGGCCATTACCCTGTAGGTCCACCCCCAGGTAGGAGCACCAGTGGTTGCGGATGTCCTCCA